TCATACACAGAAAAGGTTTTTCATTAGAAAGGTTATTTTTTAAAATAATAATAATATGAAAATGCCTATTTTTAAAAAAAATAATAATATGAAAATGCCACCCAGTTTCTGAGATATACCTCTTCTTCATTATCCTTCTCTGCAAGATGCTTAAAACTGTGCCAATGGACATCATATTCATGCTCGCACAAAAACACATCATCTCCCTCATTTCTAGCTTTAGGAAAATCTTTGGGGCTCATAACATATCAATGCCTCAGGACAGATTCCATCTGCAAATATAGCATACAATGAGTGAGAAAAACAGAATTTGCAACTTTGGAATTATGTACTGAAATAGGATAAAAAACAAAAATAACACAAAGAAGTTACTTTGCTCGCTAAAAAGTGCTAAAGCTGTAATGCATGGTTGATGGTTCAATAATCAATATATCATTACACATTTGTAACATCAATAATACTGTTGTAAACATGCATGGTAGGATGGACTGACATTTATCCGTACTGTTGGATTCAACCATGGGAAGACATTAACTAATCCATGTTCAGTTGGATTCAACCATGGGAAGACAATACTAATATATAAGTCATACACAGAAAAAGAATAAGTTTAATTTATTCAACAATACTAATACAAATATTCAAATGGCGTACGTAGCCATTGCAGCAGTCATTAATATTACAAATAAACTTAATACAATAAGAAGCAGTGTTTAAACTTAATATAATAACCAACAATGTGAAATTGAAGCACTGTAATCAATCTCAACACAGTCTATAGTTTCAGGGCATGATCATCCCGAAATCAGCTTTCTACGACTCCTTTTTCCTTTAGCAATGCCAGATGAGCTAGGTGCGTCATCCATGTCTTCGTAATCAATTGGAGATGAAGATATCTCCTGTAGTAGAATATATAATGGTTAGTTCAGATGAAGCTAGTATATTCAGCCAGATTCAAAAATTAGTTTTTTAATAAATGATACCTTCTCTTTCCTTCTTGCATATGTAGCTTTGTTCCCCTCGCCTGGCAGCTTTGTTTGGTCGTTGTCATCCATTTTCTGTATCTTTGGTTCCTGCACCTAATAACATTTAGTCATTGAATGTAAACATAGTCTTCTCAACTTGAACATGTATAAGTCGTATAGAAATGTACCTCAATGGGTTTAGTAAAATGCCTATCCTCGATTTCTTCATTAACAACCCAAGCTTTGGAAGCTGTAAATGATGTCACTCCATCTTCATTACATATATTGAATTCGCTGATTTTTATCTCAAAAACAAACTCTAAACCAACCAGCCTATTCAATATGTTCTTCACAGATTCAAAACCATCATCCTGTCCGCAAACGCATATAAGAATAGCAGTAAATGTATAAACAGCAGTAAATGTATAACTAAACAGGAAAGAGTTTCAACTGTATATAACAAATAAATAAATTACGGTACCATTGCATTGATGTCAATCATTTCTGTTACAGGAACCTTCAGCAAACGTTCAACCTCTTTATCAAAAATGGATATTGAGGCAGATTGTGTATGATCTTCAATCTCAACATGTATTTTATACCTATCAATCGAAATAGTGGTTTTGACATGATATTTAAGTTTATAATAACCCATTGCATTACAAACAGTTAGTAGATTTGAAAATCTCTTACTTTGCAAGTGGATAATCAACAAAGTTTTTGCAATTATCACACCAGTGCTTGTTGCCTCTAGGTACAACTTTCTTGCGACAATCTCTGTTATTGCAAGCGAAATAGAAAGGCTCGTAATCATATATAACCTCAGAAACAACAGCTTTGCATGTGAACTTCACTCCCTGTATTTTAAAGAAATGTCGTTAAACGTTGCAAATTTACTAAACCAGGAGATGTATAAATTTTAAGATATAAACTTACAATGGCTGCATTTGGAACTGCTTGTACAATCTCAGCCAAATTTTTCCTGTTGGTGACCATCCTTTCCTCCAAAGTGATTGCAGTTGACGATGGCGCAATCAGTTTGACAGTATTATCATCAGAACTGCAAAAATGTTTAGGACTCAAACAAAACTAAATAACAGGGGTGTAAGATTTATTTTTGTGTTTTCTATCTAAGGAAAATGCATCAAACTTCAAAAAAAAAATTAAGAACCTGTCAGTTTCCTTCCATTGAGCAACTTCAGGTATATCCAGGTTCACATATATCTTTGTAGAGTTGGTCGATGACAATGAGTAATCCCCTACATTGGTTGAAGGTAGGTAAGGATGGGTTCATTTAGACAGTTGCTGCAAATTCTTTTAGATAGTGCAAAATTTTTTTTTTTTTTAATATTGTGTTCTCAAATACATACCATCAAAGAGCTTCACTGTTAATGACGTAACAACCATAACAGGGCAGCAAGAGGAAGCCGTAACAACATCATACCTTCATACTTGAAATTGAAATCATTTATAACAAGAAGATATCTCTTCTTTCCCAATGACAAAGCGACCGCCCGCGTAAGATCCTCAATGTCATAGCATTCTTCATCGGGCTCTCTCGTAATAGATAACCCTAACTGGTGCACAATTTGCTCCTGGCATTCTAAAAAACTTTTCTGATTCAAGTC